GCAGTCCAGTCATCTTTCTTCTTAGCTTTCTACTCTTTTCCAGATGAAACCTATGTCTCCCTACTACAAGGGATACACAAATTTCATTAACTCCTATATCCTATGAGTTGAGGTCAGTGTACTCATATTCCCAAGCAAAACCTAAAATGTTAGCAAACCTCAGTGTTCTTTATATAAAGTAATCTAGACAAAAGTAGGGAAATGAATTCATAAATAAAATAAAATATACAGTAGCTGCTACAGTCTCATGATTTATGTGGACTGTTCATGAGGTCTTAGATGATAATTATATACTTGTAAAAAATATATTTTTTATTGATTTCAGAGATGAAGGGAGAGGGAGAGAGATAGAAACGTCAATGACGAGAGAGAATTACTGATTGGCTACCTCCCGCACACCCCTGACAGGGGATCGAACCATGTGCGGTCAATGATGAGAGAGAATTACTGATTGGCTGCCTCCCGCACACCCCTGACAGGGGATCGAACCATGTGCCCTGACCAGTAATTGAACCATGACCTCCTTGTTCATAGGTTGACAACAACTGAGCACACTGGCTGGGTGATAATTATATATTCTTTTAGCTACATCTGTGCAATGTTTATCCTAAGCTCCATCCATAACTAGTCTGTATGGTATTCTTTACCTGGTGGTGTATGATCTTGTGATATAAGCCTTTGATTGGTTTGCCCTTATTGGGTTGCCTCATTTTTCTATTACTCAGTCTAGTACAGAAGTGAGATGCTCCAGAGGGGAAAAAAACAAACCTCCAGGTTCCAGAAATAGTTATGCTCCCCCCCGCCCCCCTTGTGTGGCAGCAATCTAATTTCCTGTTCGTAAATAACATCCATCACCTCAACCATTATTGTGGTCCCTTTCTCTGCCAGTACTTTCAACAGCTTAAGGAGCTCATAATGGCCAGAGGGTAGAATCAATTTCCAATTAAACAGAGCTGTGATTGTGTTCTCCAGTGGAAGCATTTCTCACATGGAAACTAGAACCCTTCTATGCATAAAGCCAGAGGTTAGAGAGAGAGAAAACAAATATTGCTTCAATGAGTTATTTGCTGAAGAGATTTCACTCTCACTTCCATCTTTGATTACTGGGCCTGTTCATTCTATCTATAGGAGATATGATATCACACTTTGGATATTGGTAATCCACAAGGTTTTTTCTCCCAAATGGTGCTCCAGCACCATTTCAACAGGTCAGCTGCTTATAGACATTGAGGACATGAGACCAGGGGATATTTTGGGTGAACCCGTGGTCGCATTTCTTTGCCATAAATTATTTTCCCTGGTCTGAAGTGAGATTATGCCAAAATCCAAGAAAAATAGGATTTTGTACGTCTACAAATGGTGGTACTGACAGAACTGTAGCTAGAGAAGACAGATTCCAGATCCCTTTCCCCCTGTAAGAAGACATTTTTCCTCATAATGATGAAAGGGGTCCAATAGAATCAGCCTCTCACCAGCTGATCAAGAATGGCGCCCTTTGTGTTTTCTCTTGCTATTGGCAGGTTGGGTGGCCATAACCCTATCAACTGGGAGAAGTTCAAGTCATCAAATCCATGCATACTCTTCCTCTGAGTTATCCTGGTCTCCCTCCCATTGAACAACTGAAAAAAAAGAGACTGATAAAAAAGATTAACTGAAAAAGAAAAAAGAAAAAAAAGATGGACTGACAGCTATAGGAGGGATAATTTTGTCAATCTGATTTTTGCAGGCTCCTCTGCAGTGGAAGCCCTTTCTGGAAGATTACATGGGACATTAATGTCTACCATACCCTTCCCATCAGACACCTTTGTCATTAATTCTTCATTTTTATTCCTTTAAATCTCCTACCAGCTGGCCAGCCTGTTAGCTACCACTCATGGATTAGTGTCGCCATTGCTACCTCAAGCCATTTCTCATTCACACAGTATTCGGTCAAATTTCCTCTCTGAAGTTTTGCCCTGTAGGCAGATTCCCTTCACCCACTGACTTTCACCACCACCCCTGAGTTAGACTGTAAAGAAGCAGCTTCAAGCAGCTGCTCGCATAGAGGGTGGATGCTTATTTAATTCAGTCTTGCATTGTTTCTTTCTACCAGTTCATTAACTGGTCATAGGACATTCCCCATGACATTATCATTGTGAGTGGGAGAGCCAACCCTCAGCAGCCCATCAGAGAGGGAACCAGGGAAATAAATAGCTCAACCTCATTAATCTTCTGTCCCCTAATACGGTCAGCACCTTCCCAACCAAAGTTAAAGGACAAGGGAGCTTGCTTGATGTGAATGTAGAAGTTAGCAACCTAGGTTAACATAGAAGTTAGCAGGCTGGATATGCTGCAGAATAAGGGCTAAAAAAAAAGACATTCAGCACAACTACTATCAACAAAACCTCACATTCCAGCAGTAGGTTTAATTTCATGACTTAAAATACTTTAGGTATTTGATGTGATTCATTTTTCTGCTCATACTTAATTCAATATTATTTTATAATAATTTTTAATTGTAGGCATTTATGAAGGAGTTTCTTTACTCATAACAACCAACTGAACAATAGTCACTTCACATTTTCTGTGACTAATATTAGTTAATAAATTTTGAGAATTTTAGACAATTTTCGCAGTTTTATAATAAATAAAATGTTATATTCAGGAATTATTTTAATAATATGTTCCTATTTCCACAGTGACATGTACATTCAATGAATGCAATGCTTGTGTGTGTGTGTGTGTGTGTGTGTGTGTGTGTGTGTGTGGTTAAAGTGTTTGTATTTTTGCAAACTTGATTAATCTTTTTTGGGATGATATGTCAAATTCTGAGTTTATTATTGTGTATCTTAGGAATAATTTATAATGAATGTTGGGTTATGTAAGGGACTTCTTTAAAATGCTCATTGTTTCACTTTAATAAAAAAATACATACTTTATTGATTTTTGTAGAGAGAGAAGAAAGGAGAGGGAGAAATATCAATTGGTTGCTTCCTGCAGGCAACAGACCTGGGATGGAACCTGCACTGGGAATCAGTTGGGGACCTTTCAGTGCCTGGGGTAGTGCTCAACCAAATGAGCCACACTGGCCAGGACCATTGTTTCGGTTTTGATGTCCCCTTACATAGGGCTTCGCAAAGCATCTTGAAACAAAAATTGGTGGGTTTTTTTGTTTTGTGTCTCCCCGTCCCACCCAAGGAAGTAATGGGTTTTTGTTTTGTTTGTATTTTGGTAGTGCAAGCAGAGGTAGGGGTATGGGAAAATTTCCCATTCAAAGCTGAAACTAAGGTGATTACTAGAGCCATTGCAATTTGGGGACTATTTATATACTTTTCATGAGGAGGCTCATTTTTAAAATTGATTTAAAGAGAGAGGAAGGGGGGGGAAAGAGAGAGAGAGAGAGAGAGAGAGAGAGAGAGAGAGAAGAGAGAGAAATTGATGGATTGGTTGCCTCCTGCACCTCCATGGCCAGAGATCGAACCTGCAACCTGGGCATGTGCCCTGACCAGGAATCGAACCAGCGTCCTTTCTGTGCATGAAAAAACATTCAAATAACTGAGCCATACTGGCCAGGGCACAAAGTTCATTTTTAATACAGAAGGAAATAATTTCATATTTCATTACCTTAGTGAACAGTATATAAGTTGGGCCAATTGTTCCAGGAAACATTTATGGCTATAACATGTGCCAAACAACCTCTTAATGTATATAAGGATGGCATTGACTTTAATAGATGTGTAGAATATTTTATAAGGATGACTGTGAAAGTGAAAACTTTTAATACTAATACTAGAGGCCTGGTGCATGAAAATTCATGCACTCGGGGCAGGAGTCCCTCAGCCCGGCCTGTGCCCTCTCGCAGTCCAGGACCCCTTGGGGGATGACTGACTGACAGCTTAGGCCTGCTCCGGATCAGGCCTAAACTGGCAGTCAGACATCCCTCTGGGAGCCCGGGAGCCCTCAGGGATGTCTGACTAATGGCTTAGTGCTCCCATGGAGGCGGGAGAGGCTCCCGCCATGGCCGCTGCACTGGCCAGCCGTGAGCTGGCTTCTGGCTGAGCTGCACTCCCTCTGTGGAAGTGCACTGACCACGAGGGGGCAGCTCCTGTGTTGAGCGTCTTCCCCCTGGTGGTCAGTGCACGTCATAGTGACTGGTCTTTCCACCATTAGGGTCATTTTGCATATTACCCTTTTATTATATAGGATTATGTAGGATGTTAAGGTACATATAGACATATGTGTACACCCCTCCCCACACAAACAAACACACACACAGAGACACATATTGAAACAGATATTGCATAGCTAGAAGGGACATTAGAGTAGTGATTACTTGGATGAAATTGGAAGAACATTGGCCTGTTTTGAATACTGAGTCCTTTTAATAAACAGTCAAGTCCAGGATATTGCTGTGTGGTCCCACTTACAGAGTGCAGAGTCTCCAAATGTTCCTTGACCTTTGCAATTATATGTCACCACCATGAAAATTATTTTTACTTATTTGAAAATGCTATCAGGATGGATTCAAATTGCTACGGGGATGAAGGCTTGTCCATCTTTCCTACTTTTACAAAGATATAATGGCAGTAGGTATGTGAAATACCAAACATTTAATGGATGTGAAAATAAATTAATGTAGGTATATTTTCACAAGTTCTCTTATTTTGTGCAACCTGATCTGCCCAATGCTCAACTTCATCTCTAACAAGCATGTTAAAAAAGAAGTCAGAGAAGGTTTTACTTTTGATATTTTGTATTACATAATTATTAAGTGTTGATTAGCCGGGTCATGTTATATATCTAGACCTGAAAGACAACATGCAGCATTGAGTTAATGAATTAAAATAGGTTGTTTCTTTAGTGTTGTGTATGGTTTGTAAGTAAGCAGTGAAAGATTTGATGAGTGTATTATTGTCAGTATATAAATAATACAGTTGAGAATCAAATCCAACACAAGAGTTTATTTATTCGGTTCATTATCTATGTTTTTATGCATGTGTGTACCTGTGTGTATCTTACAGCTGTTATTTCAAGAAACCAAGAAGGGCCAGGAGAAATGGGAAAGGCTGTGCTGATTCCTAAAGATGACCAGGAGAAAATGAAAGAACTGTTTAAAATCAATCAGTTTAACCTCATGGCCAGTGATTTGATTGCCCTTAACAGAAGTCTTCCGGATGTGAGATTAGAAGGGTGAGTTTACATGTGCTGTATAATCTTACATATCTCAGAATACCTCAGAACTTCATGTAATTCAGATTATTTCAGTTCTAGAAGTATGTGGTTCAGAATAACTATGCCATAGCCAGATTTTACTGTGCCATGCATATGAGGAGAGATCTGAACTATTTTCTTCCTTGGCAGAGCAAAATATGTTATTTGAAAAATAATTGCAGAACACACAGCCCAACAGGTTTTTCTTCTTGAAATGATTTTTGTTTGCTTTTTCTTTGCTTTATCTTGCTAAAGATAGAGCAAACATGCTCTTTAATAGATTATTTTCTTGCCAGCATATATAACTCTTACACTTTGATTTGAAAAACTATGTGCTTTGCTATTCCAGCATAAAAGTAACACATTGCTTGTATGATTCTTTGACCCTTTAAAAATTATTTATTATGGGCTCCAGCAATTTATGCTGCTGTTTATAATTAGAATACTCAGTTATTGGCCATGGAGGAAATAATTACTTGGAAATAGTAATGCTGCATGAAAAATTAAGTTGAAAAATTAAACTTGTATGTGATTAACTGTAAGCCATGCTCTAGATCGTTGAAGAAACTTTAAATAGATTCATGAAATTAGCTATTTGCAGTTTCGTCATTCTAGTATATAGCCCTTGTAAAGCAAACTCTTGGAACTCAGAAAGTTATACCCTGAGATTTTAGAAAATTTCTAAGTTTATAGGTATGTTCTAGGGCATACTTCTATGTAAACAGAAGTTTTTCTTTTAGGTATGTAATTACTTTTTCTATATACAACAAAATCATAGTTAATGCAAATAAAGTTTGCCACATATAATTGGTTATATTATGTTAGTATTGTAGTGATATTAACATCATATTGTTAAATCTGAATTTTTTCTCCTTTCGGAATTACTTCAGATGAGTCCAAAGTAGAGTAACTGAAACCTTTCTGAGATGCTGGGGGCTGAGTTGCCAGAAGGTTCATTTGGTACCTAAATAAGTAGCTAAGAGTAATTTTGTACACTCTTTTATGCTTTTCAAATCTCTCTCTCAAAAAATCACAAATAACTATCAATAATGGATGTTTTTGGTCCCTAGTAAATGGTTAAAAGATCAAATATTACATTTGTGCCTTCTAAAGGGCTAATTTTACAAGTAGTTTTGTCCATATTTGTATATGTTTGTTGTATTTGAAAAAAGCACAAAAATCATATTCTTCTGATTAATTTAATTTGAACATTTTATATGCTAAGTTTATAATGTTGCATTTATTATTTTGTTTTATATACCATGCTCTAATAAAATGGCTAAATGTGATACTTAGACATTCTGAAAACCATGTAAGCACTAGTTCAAATTTTAAAAATCTTTATTTTCAACTATCCGAACATAAATAAATTAAATTTTATATAAGATCTGGGGTGATTAAGGTAAGAATCATTTTAGTATAGAGCCATCCCTTTTTTAAAAAGTAAAATCATTCTTGCTGGTTTGACTCAGTGAATAGAGCATCGGCCTGTGAACTGAAGGGTTCCAGGTTTGATTCTGGTCAACAGCACATGCCCAGGTTGTGGATTCAATCCCCAGTGGGGGTGTGCAGGAGGCAGCCTATCAATGATTCTCTCTCATCATTGATGTTTCTATCTCTCTCTTCCTTCTTCTCTGAAATCAATAAGAATATATTAAATAAATAAATAAAAATTTAAAAAGTAAAATCTTCATTGAGAATCCATTGAAAATATTTGTGGCCAATGCTATATTTTCTTTTTATAAAAATATTTTTTTATTGATTTTAGAGAGGAAGGGGGAGCGAGAGAAAGAGCCTCCTGCACGCTCCCCACTGGGAACCGAGCCCACAACCCAGGCATGTGCTCTTGACTGAAATCAAACCTGGGACCTTTTAGTCCCCAGGCCGATGCTCTACCCACTGAGAAAAACCAGGTAGAGCTGTATTTTCTTTTAAGGATCACTTAATATATTAAATACTTGAATAATTAAGCATTGAAAGGGAGGATGCAGATTGATTAGTATTAGAAGTTCACAAAATGCCACATTTACTTTGGATAACATAGCTTCAAGTTTGATATTTTGCAAATAGTCTAGGAAGTAATATTGGTGAGATAAGAAATTTTCTATTTCATTTTAATATCAACAAAGTGTATGCTATCAGTGAAAAAAGTCAGACAGAAAGCAAAAAAAAAACATAAGTACCATCCAAATTTCCTAGATAAATCATGAAGTGTATGTGAAGTCCACTGGGGACATTTCCAAGTCATCTTGAGAATCTCAATTGTGTGACTGCCTGGGAACAAGTGCTGAAAAACACACCATGGATCAGATATCCACACCGTTATTTAAAAAAAAGTCAAAATCTATTAATATTCATTTGAAGTAGAAAATATATATTTTCAGTTTGGATATTAGTTACAGTTTAATTTTTGTATATTTATTTCTTAAATGGATGGGGCACATTAAGATAGTGTTAATGATGACTGCTGTAAATGTATGCAATATAAACAGATGGGATTCACAAATAATTAGTTTTTAAAACCTTATATAGTAGAAAACTCAAGTTGATATTTAGAAAGTGCACTGCTCAATTCATTAGAATATCTCAGCATTTTATTAGATACTAGAGGCCTTTTTTATGAAATTCGTGTACTCGGGGCAGTCCCTCAGCCTGGCCTGTGCCCTCTCGCAGTCTGGGAGACCTTGGGTGATATCCGTCTGACTTGGAGGTGGGAGAGGCTCCTGCCACCGCCGCTGCACTAACTGGCCAGGCTGAGGGACCCCACCCGTGCACTAATTTGTGCACCTGGCCTCTAGTATATAATATTTAGTTATTTGAGGGACATGAAATAATTGTATCACAAGTAATCGTGATACTTGGATAAGTTAAGTTCAGTAAAGGTTAAAGGCCTTACTAAATATCTTACTTTCTTGAATACCCTCAGTTTCTGAGATTCTTGTTAAAGTTTGTGTATACGTATACATAAAATTCCAGGCAGATGTGTATACGTATACATAAAATTCCTTTCTCTCCTTTGCCCATCCTCTATAAACTAAAACATTGCAATGTCATTAAATTTTGATTCAGAACTTTGAGAAAAAACATGATTAAACTTGGTAATAAGAGACTTGTCTTTGGTTGGTGATGACACTACAATATACAGATAATGTATTATAGAATTGTATATTTGAAACCTATATAATTTTATTAATGATGTCACCCTAATAAATTCAATAAAAATATATTTTTTTAAATTCAAAAAGCATAATTAACCTAATGTGTTAATGCATCACCTTTAGGAATTATTAGCATATTTCTCATCAATTATGTGTCTATGTTTTGTAAACTTATGTAGTTTGGATTTAAAAATAGGGTCTAAATATTTCTGTTTTCAGAAAGCATGTAAATATACATCTTTAGTTTTTAACATAAGATTTTTGTATTACTGTTTAGTGAGAGAGGAAGAGAGAGAGAAATGAGAATTACCAAACTAAAGAAACCTATTAAAAATATTAAACATTATTTTTGAGCACCTAATATGCTAATATGTGCCAAGTACTATTCTATGTGATGGGGATGTAGCAGTGAACAAATTGAAGTCCCTGCTTCATGGAACTTAGAACAACTTAAAGAATGAAGGAAGGTGAGAGATAGAGAGTAGAGTAGTGAGCAAAAGCCCCTTTGAGAAGCTCACATTTGAGTAAGTTGAGTGGATCTTCAGCACTTGAATATCATTATTTCATTTTGCTAATACACAGAGCTGTTAAATAATTACTGGGTTCTTGGAACATATAATGCTAGAAATATAACAGACCTATGGATATATAAAACTATAACTACAGAAAAACAACAGAATAGACATTAAATAATAATGCATAGATGTGTGCATGCATGTATGTATATGTGTGTGTGTTCATGCATGTGTTCATTAATTTTTGAAAACAGTGTTTAACTTTTATTTCCATGAAAGTCAGCAAAACCACATTTTAATTTTCTAAGGTTTCTGTAGCCAATGTTTTCCCACGCTCTATGCTTTCCTGGAAGCAGAGAAAAGAGTATGATTGTGATCATAATCAATGAGGTGGGTACATGACTCTATTCCATTAAATGCAAAACAAATAAAGGGAACAAAACGCCAACTCCAGAGACTTTTTTCAAGCAATTAAGGAGAAAATCTTTATATATGGAACCAAAACACATAGGTTTAATATCTATGGTTTACTGTTGGGTCTTGGATAAATCATTAATTTTCTAAGCCTTAGTTTTCTTTCATTGATTAAACCAACTAATCAAATAGTCAACCAATCAACCAATCTTTGTCATTTAGCTTTGAGAATAAAAATAAATGGATATATCAGGCCCTAACTGTGAAGATATAAAAAATATATTTACCTAAACCACTAACTATAGTATTGTATGAACAAAGCAATAATTGCAAAAATGACAAAGTAAGAATAAGATTGGGCTGAGTTTCTGGTGACATTTTTATATTTATTATTATTATTTTATTACTAGAGGCCCAATGCACGAAATTCGTGCGAGAGTAGGCCTTCCTTACCCCGGCTGCCGGCAGCAGCTTCCCTCTGGCACCCAGATCCGGGCTTCCCTTGCAGCCTCAGCTTCGTCCAGAAGGTTGTCGGGTCTAATTAGCATATTACGCTTTTATTATTATAGATTATTATTATCATTATGTGGAATTTTCTTATGCCTTAGGATCCGTTTTTCTACTAACCACAGTAACTTTTTAAGCAAGCAGCTTCTCCCTTTAGTCTGCAATTTTTTAAATTAAGAAATTACAAATATTTATGGGGTGAATATTTATTTTAAAAAGCTATGGGGAATTAAAAATTAAAGCAAAATGTTAAGGTTTCTTAGCATTTACTTGTATTCAGACATTTAATAGCACTTCAAGTTCTTGTATTGAGTTATTTGAAGGTTATAATGCAGCCGGCATTTAAATAAGTTTCATCAGGGAAAAATGAGGAAATAGGAAATTT